AAGTGGAATGAGCTCAAGGACGAGGACAAGGACCTCTTCCCACTGCTGGAGGTGAGTGGGCTCCAGGCCCCGTCCTGCCTCCCTGCTCGCCCCACCCCACCTGAGTTCCCCTCTCCTGCTGTCCTCCCTGCCAGTGCCTGTCATCAGTGGCCACCGCCCTGCAGAGTGGCTTCCTGCCCTACTGCGAGCCTGTCTACCAACGCTGTGTCACCTTGGTGCAGAAGACGCTGGCCCAGGCTATGGTGAGCACGGCCCGCCCCCTGAGGCCCACCCACCTGCCCTGCTGCTGCCGCCTGGGCCCCGAGCCACTCCCCTCACCCACCTCCCCACCCCCTTCTGTGCCCAGATGTACACCCAGCACCCCGAGCAGTACGAGGCCCCTGATAAGGACTTCATGATTGTGGCACTAGACCTGCTTAGCGGCCTGGCCGAGGGCCTGGGCGGCCACGTGGAGCAGCTGGTGGCCCGAAGCAACATCATGACGCTGCTCTTCCAGTGCATGCAGGTGAGTGGGTGCCCCATGCAGGCTGTGCCCAAGGCATGCCCAGGGACACTTGCTGTCACCTGCATAGTGACAACATCCAGCAGCCTGTGTGGGCTGCCCCAGGGGGACTCACAGCCCTGCTTGTGCCCAAAGGATGTCAGGGAAAAGGAACCCTTTAAAAAAAGTTTCTGGTTATTGTGATTATTCCCTAAACAAGTATGACAACTATTTATACAGTGTACATTTACATTGTATTAGATATTATAAGTAATCTAGAGGTGATTTGATCGCACCCAGGAGGATACGCATAGGTTATATGCAAATACTATGCCACTCTATCGCAGGGATTTGAGCATCTGTGGATTTTGGTATGAGCTGGGTCCTGGAACCGATCCCCCACAGATCCTGAGGGACAAGTGTATGTCAGGATGGGCAGCAGCAATGCCTGCTCTCCTTTGTTGTAGCGCCCTGAGCAAAGCATTCTCTGGGTCCTGTGGCTTCTAAGTTCCCAGGGTGGGGCACTGCCAGCCCCATTCACAGATAAGGGCTGGAGGCTAGAGAGGTCAAGAAATAACTGAGAAGTGGCAGGGTCAAGACAGGCACAAGAGACTGTGCCCCATCGGCTGCCCTGGGGGAAGGAGTAGGGGAACCCTGCCACATTGACCCTTCCTGGACCCCCAGGACTCGATGCCTGAAGTCCGGCAGAGCTCCTTCGCCCTCCTGGGGGACCTCACCAAAGCCTGCTTCATCCATGTCAAGCCCTGTATTGGTATGACACTCCCCTTGTCCCTCATCCATGATCCCAGTCCTGGCCTCAAGTGATGCACAAATGCCCTGGGGAGAACTGTGACCTACTGGGATGTATTCGTACTGTCTGATGGGGCCTGCCGGGCTGGGTGCTGGAGCTCACCCTGGCTGGCCTTCCTGAAGCTCAGCACCCCTCTATCTCCCCACCAGCTGAGTTCATGCCCATCCTGGGCACCAACCTGAACCCCGAGTTCATTTCTGTCTGCAACAATGCCACCTGGGCCATTGGAGAGATCTGCATGCAAATGGGTGAGTGAACACTGTGTGAACACTGAGGCCCCATTGGCCTGTTCCTAGCCCGGGGGCAGGAGACTCTCTGACTGACAGCGCCCCTAAGGGATGCCTCCCATTGGCCAGGGGCAGGAGGATGTGTCTGTGTGTTTTCCTTAGGGGAGGAGCTAAATGGCTACAAGGCCATTTCTGATTGGTTTATTCAAAGATGAGGACCAGGAGGGGTGTTCTGATTGGACTATTTCATGCAGTTGCCTGCAAGACCCATTGGGATTGGTTGGGTAGCTTTGGCATTTTTCCCAGGGAGATTAGGCAGTGTGGTCTCATCCTAGTGTCTGAAGGGGCCTTCAGAGAAAACTCTGGTGTTTGGAGGGCATGGATGTGTCTCTGGTTGGGGATAAGCTGGAGAAGATCCTTTAATCCCTCACAGGTCGTGGTTGGCCAGTCTCTGGATGGCACTGGGGTCATTGAGTGAGGGGGCTGTACCCCTGGCTGGCCCACTGTGGGTGGCATGGGCTGTGCAGGGCTCTGATCGGGTGCTCCCCCAGGCGCAGAGATGCAGCCCTACGTGCAGATGGTCCTGAACAACCTGGTGGAGATCATTAACCGACCCAACACGCCCAAGACGCTGCTGGAAAACACAGGTGGGCACCAGGCCTTGGCCTGCTTCCTGGCCCTCTTCTTGAAGGTGGGGTTCTGGGCTGGGAGTGGGAGCTGGCCGTACCTGGAAGGGGGCTCTGAAAGCCCCAAGAAAGACGCTGGCCTTGGGGTGCCCTGGGGAGATGCCAGATGGGGTGGGGAGGAGACCCTGCTGGGGCCAAACTCAGGGGCCCAGGCTGGCGAGAGGAGCCATTCTCTTGGGGCCCGTGGGGCGGGGCTCGGTGCCTCGTGCCAGAGGCCCCGCCACGTACCGTCCTGGGGCCGCTCAGGGTTGCAGGTCGCCTGACGAGTCCCTCTGCCATTCCAGCCATCACCATCGGCCGCCTGGGCTACGTGTGCCCACAGGAGGTGGCACCCATGCTGCAGCAGTTCATCCGGCCTTGGTACATGCCCATCTGTGTCAGGCCTGCTGGGTGGTGGGTGGGACAGGCCTGATCCCTTCCCTCACCTCTGCTCTCCCAGCCCTACTCATATCCCCATAGACGGGTGTCCCAGACCCACTCCCTGACCTTCCGTGCCCTCCACACCCCAGCCCCCAAAGAGAGTTGTCCTTCCCAGAGTGGATCTCCCCCTGACCCGCTGCTCCCTGACCCTCACAGGTGCACGTCACTCAGGAACATCAGGGACAATGAGGAGAAGGACTCTGCCTTCCGGGGCATCTGCATGATGATCGGTGTCAACCCCGGGGGTGTCGTGCAGGTTGGGGCAGCTGGGTTCTGAGGGAAGGTGCGGGAGCTGGGCTCGGGCGGCCCCTCACATGGGATCCGTCACGTTTCAGGACTTTATTTTCTTCTGCGATGCTGTAGCCTCCTGGGTGAGCCCGAAGGATGACCTTCGGGACATGTTTTATAAGGTGGGGCTCCCACTGGGCCCTGATCAAGTCCTGGGAGGGGGCAGGGAGGACACCCTCTGGCAGGGAGCAGGGTAGGGGAACAGGAGCGAGGGACAAGCGAGCTCATCTCATCCCACTGTGGCCCATCTGTCACCCACTGCCTTCCCACAGATTCTCCATGGCTTCAAAGACCAAGTCGGGGAGGACAACTGGCAGCAGTTCTCAGAGCAGTTCCCGCCGCTGCTAAAGGAGAGGCTGGCGGCCTTCTACGGGGTCTAGGCGAACGTGGAGACTGCCAGGTGAGGGGCTGGTGCCCGGCTCAGCGGTCAGCGCTGTGTCTGGGGCTGAAGGTGCCCAGGCCCTGACTCTCTTCGTCCCCCTGCAGGTTTCTGTCTGCGTCGTCGTTGGAGGGATTGCTGGGGAGCGCGCTGCGTCCAGAAGTCGCTGTGCCCTGGTCGAGGGGGGTTAGGGAGGAGTGAGTGGGACCCAAATCCAGACGCCTTCCCCGTCCGTCCGTCCGTCCGTCCGTCCGTCTGTCCATCCACCTGCCTTGCTGGGCTTGTCTGGCTGGCAGGCGGGCAGGTGGGTGGGGCCTCCACGCTCATCCTACAAACAGGGAGGGGGGGTGGGACTTCGTGGGGGGCAAGGGTCCCTGGGCGCTCACTGGGGTCCTCTGTGGCAGTCCCCTGGGCCAGCCGAGTGGGAGGGAGGAATCAACACGGCCAACTGAGTCCAGCTTGAGGCAAGGGGCAAGCAGGCGGGGCGGGGGGGTCCTTGTAGGGACGCGTACACTCATGGACACACACGTGGCCACACGCATGTGCGGGTGCTGCAGCCAGCGAGGCTGGGCCAGCCGCCCCACCATTTCCCCGACTGCATGGAGACAGTAGAGTTAGTGAACCCCTGAGTTAACCCGTAAGGCCTTCCGTGTAACCTGCATCTAGAGTTTAAGAAGCTTCTGCTGTTTTGCCGGAATTGGCGGTGACTGGGGAGGGCTGGGTGGGTGGGGGGCCTCAGCCGGGACCCCGGGGCGGGGGGAGGAGGACGGCTTACCTTGGGGCCGCCCTGTCAGCACGTGCACGCTTAGGACCTGCTCCGCACACTTCCTGCCAGCTTTGTGGCAGCCTCAGCCAGTGTGTCCCTGTCCTTGTCCTAGCCCAGCCAGCAGGGTGAGGACCACCAGGGCAGCTGGGGCTGGCCAGAGGTCGCCCTTTCTCCCTCTCCTGTGCTCCAGCAGCTTTGGAGGACGCTGGGCTGGGACCTTTTTCCTGAAGAGAGCTGGGGGTGGCCAAGACTGCTGGCACCTACCCACTGCAACTCTGTCAGCAGCCTGAAGGGCAGTCCGTTCCTCTGTTCTTCTGAGAGCTCCTTTTTCACACGTCAGGCACGAGTTTTAACTCAACGGCCAGGGTAGGGCCATTTAATTGATGACAGAGGACAAAGGCTTATGCCTTGCCACCAAGAAGGAAACCCAAGGGCTTGGAGGAAGGGAAGGTGGTGCCCCCATTGTCCCCTACTCCATCACCCTGGGACTTCCTGCTCATTACGGCACCCAGTGGGCCCAGACTGGGGCAGGGATTCTAGAGAACCTTCTGGGATTGGTTGGGATATGGTCAGGGTGGGAGGGGCTCCCGCAGAGGGGGAAGGGGCATAGTCACTTCCAAGTTGACCAGGAAGCCGGGCCCTGCAGTCCCCTTTACATTCACTGTTTTCCCTTTTTTCCTTCCCTGCTTCCTGCTTTTTTTTTTTGGGGGGGGCCCTTTTTGGGGTTTGACTGGAGTCCCACATCCCTGGGGCCTGGATCCCACCCCCATCCTAGCCCTGTGTCTTCTCATGGTCAGGGTCAGGCGCCGCCTCTATTCCAAGGGGCACTTAGTGCACATTCCATAACTCAGCTGTTTCCCCCTCCCTGTGAAACTCGAGCAGGTCTCTGGAAGCCATTTGTAAAAAAAGAAAAAAAAGAAAGAAAGTTTTTTAATACCTTTTCATTTTCTGGTAATTCCAGTTCTTTGGAGCATCCTCCACAGGGTCTGGGGTGTGTGGATGGATTGGCCGTCTGATGGGATTGGTGACCCCCTCTCCACCCAAGATGGGGGGCTCCAAACACCTTCAGGGAAGGGGAGACTGGTTCTTTTTTTTTTCTTTTTTTTTTTTTTTAAGAAAGCTATTTAATTTTTTAATTTATTTTTGGTTGGTTTTTGCACAACGAAGTTTCAGCTTCTCAACCTTCTCCCCTGCCCATGGCTGTGGACCCAGACTGGCCTTGATCCGCAGTCCTCTCTCCATGTTTCCCCTGTCCCTCCTTCCCTCCTCACCCTCTTCCCCCTGCGGGCTCCCGGATCTGTCCATTTGTTACCGTGCTGTGCTGGGGACTGGCGCCGAGGCGGCGTGAGATTCCACTTGTGTAGAACTTTGTTGAGTAAAGATCAGTTTCTTGTGAACTCCTCAGTCTCTGGCCTCTTGTGTCCTTGGCTTTGGTAGTGGAGAAGGAAATAGGGAGAGCCTCTTAAGGAATGGGGGCAAACAGAACTCTGGTCAGGAGATAACTGAGGGAGTGGGAAACAAGCATGAAGTTGGCACCCCAAGCCTCTCACTTTTCTTCCCTGTAAAATGGGAGGGTGAATATGAAAGATGGAAGATTAAGTGTGTAACAAAAGGAGTGGGGAATCTTCGGCCTTCTGATTTCAAGATTGTTCCTTTTTAAACACCAGAGGAGACAAGACAAGTTTCATCTTTCTCTGCTGCACCCCTTTTAATAAAAGGATTTGTTCTGTAAAACTTGGATTCAGAGGCTACACTTAGGGATGTAGAAGGTCACATGTGGCTTAATTGCACAACAGGGCAGGTTACAAGGTTTTGTAGAAGGCTCAACCCAGCACCAGGCCTGAGGGAGACATGGCAATAAGAACTCCAGTTACTGAGGCAAATGAGAAAAAGCTCCAGCTCTGAGCGAACACACAGTCTTCCAAATAGAATCTGCTTGTTTTTTCTTTTTTCTCACGTCAGATGGGTAATGTGCAGATGTCCTAACAAGGTATGAGGGAGGCATATCTCACCCATGGGCATGAAAACCCAATCATTCCGCCTATGAATTAGAAAAGGATCTGAGAAAAAAATATTGTTGCAACCGTGGCATGGCCCAAGGATCACCTGCGTCAACTTGGAAACCAATTAAAAAATGCTGACATACCCCCAAGGTTCATTCAACAAACAATACCTACATCTAATGAGAGGAACTAGACCAAGTAGCAGAACAGTGGTAAGTCCCATAGAGAGAAATACAGCAGGAAGGCAGAGAAGATGTTGGGGACAATGGTCGAAATTTTATGTAAGGTACCCTGGGAAGGCTTCTCTGAGAAAGTGATGTTTGAACAAACGCACGTGGAAGTGTCAAGCAGGGAACAGGCAAGTGCTGCTCAGATGTGATTTATGTGGATAGGTTAACTGCCTGGGTCTAAGCTGAGTCACCTGTAACAGGCGCCTTCAGTAAGAGCCTTTTTTTTTTTTTGGTGGGGGCTGCAGTGTCTTGCTCTGTCGCCCAGGCTGGAGTGCGTGTCGCCTGCATAGCTCACTGCTATCTTAAGCTCCTGGGCTAAAGCGGTCCTGTCTCAGCCTCCCGAGTAGCTGGGACTGCAGGCATATGCCACCACACGCCGCTAATTTTATTTTTCGTAGAGACGGGGTCTGGCTCTTGCTGAGGCTGATCTCTGGTCTCAAGCGATCCTCCCCGCCTTGGCCTCCCAAAGTGCTAGGATTACAGGCTTGAGCCACCCTGCCCGGCCAGAGTTGCGTTTCAAACTAAAGTCGGCTGGCCCTCTGCATCAACAGCACTACAGATGCTTCTTTTAAAAACCACGAACTCAAACGTGCATTTCCCAGGCTAAGGCCAAAGCAGTTGCAGCAGGAGACCCCTCGAGTGAGCGCGTCTCCGATACTCAACTAGTCTTCCCGCGGGCGAGTCGCTTCCGGTTGGCAAGGTTGCGTCATCAGGCAACGCCGGAAGTGCCCTCGCGCTGCCTAGGAGACAGGACGCGGGGCTAGTAGCTGACAGGGCCGCGCCGGCCGCGCCCACCCGGTCGCCATGGAGCTGCCCGCAGAGCTGTACGAAGATCCCCGCGCCTGGGACGATGACTCGGAGCCGGAGCCGGAGCCTGACCCCGACGCGCAGGCCGAGGCCTACGTGGCCCGCGTGCTCAATCCGCCAAAACCCCGTCTGGCTCCCCCGCGCGCCTCGCCGCTGTCCACGCCCGCCGCGTCCCCGAGCGCGCTGGAGCCGCGAGCCGCATCCAAGGTCTCGGCAGTTCGTGTGCCGGGCTTGCTGAGCCTTCCCCCGGAGCTGCTGCTCGAGATCTGCGCCTACCTGGACGCGCGCCTCGTGCTCCACGTCCTGCCGCGCGTGTGCCACGCGCTGCGCGACCTCGTGCGTGACCGTGTCACCTGGAGGTTACGCGCGCAACGCCGCGTACGCGCGCCCTACCCAGTGGTGGAAGGTGCGCGCATCCGGGGGCCAGGGACGCCCGCCCAGGTCAGGCTTGGGGCGGGGGAGGGGGTACCTGACGTGCTCTGGGCATAGCCTCTGGAGCAGGCTTTGTGGCTGCCCTGGCTCTGGCCGGAGCTGAGGTCGCTACAGGTGGTGGTGCCAAAACCCCTGAGGACCTCTGGGTAGACCATGAGGCAGATACTTGGGGTTCCGAGGTTGTGAAAACCCACCCTGGGGGCTGGTGTCCCTGAACCCAGGATTCCAAGGATCCTCAGGCTTCGGGTCTGTTGGTACCAAGCCCGTAATCCCAGGCTGGGAGACGGACACAGGCACGTGAAGTCTCAGGCTGTGTAATCTATGCTTGGGACTCAAAGGCTTGCCCAAGAATTCTCAGGCTCTGAGTCTAGCCTAAAGGCTGAGGCAGCAACTGGTGTTGCCAAAGCCTCTAATCCCCTAGAGCCTTGATCTACTTGGGGGTGAGGCAGGGGCTCAGGTTCCAGAGCCTGCAACCCTTGAACCATATTAGGGTTTAGGTGTTGGGATCCTTGGCACCAGAAACCACAAATCCTCAAGCCCTGGGTCTAGCCCCACATCTTAGGCAGGGCTTGGTGTTCACTCCTGTCCCTGAGTTGATTGGTCCTGGGGGGAGAAGGCAGCTTGGGGACCTTGAATTAATATTGATGATCCTGAAATTGTTGGATGTACAGGTCCTTGAGCCAACATGAGTAACAAGTTCGGTGGTTGATTACGCTAACCTGGAAGCTTTGATTCTGCAGAGAGCCAGGGGTTCCTGGATCAGTGATTTTCAGAGTGTTGCCGTCCGACACCCTGGTTATACTCTCCCAAACAGCTTGATAAACATAGAAGCTTCAGACTCACCTGCACCTGGAGCTTGGATTCTGCATCCTGAAAAAGCTCCCTGGTTTACGGAGATTAGCTTGGGAAACACTCTCCTTGGTCTGGTTCAGACTCTCTTTGGTCTGATGGCTGAGGCAAGAAGGGTTAGTCATGAGACCCCAGCTCCTATGAGGGGCTGAGGCCGCATCTCAGCCAGAGGTAAAATAGGACCTCAACATCCCAAGGCTACTGTCTCCCAGGCTTAGACTGGGGGATGTGGCCTGGAAAGGTGTTCCTGAGGCCCCTGGTTTCTGGAAATTGGAGTGAGGAGTAGTCAATCCTAGACCTGCCTAGGAGATGGTTGGGCAGGTGGTCCCAGGGCTAGATTCTGGGCCTGCTTGGGGTTGGGTGAGGAATCCAGGCGGGGTTCTGTCCAAGTCTGGTGTATGGCGGGTTCCCCGGAAGCCAGGGTTGGGCTCAGACAGCTGGCTGCGTGGTAGGGTCCCTGCCCACTTGGGGACCCTACTCATGGTGCCCCACAGAGGAGGAATTTGACTGGCCGACAGCCTGCATTGAGCTGGAACAGCACCTGGCCCACTGGGCAGAGGATGGGCGCTGGGCCGAGTACTTCTGCCTGGCCGATGGGCACTTTGCTTCCATTGACTCAGTGCTGCTGCTCCAGGTGAGGCAAGGTCTGGTGGGGGCCAGGCAGGGGTGGGCCATGGTGGCCCGGACAACATCACCTCCCTCCCTTCCCAGGGCGGGACACTATGTCTGTCAGGCTCCCGGGACCGCAACGTCAACCTGTGGGACCTGCGGCAGCTGGGGGCGGATCCCAGCCAGGTTCTGGTCAAAGCCCTGGGCACCCAACCAAACAGCACCCACAAGGTGAGGGGTCAGGCAGGGGTAGGGGATAAGAGGCCTGGGTAGGGTGCTTTTCCTAAAGGCCCAGGTTTTGCCACCAGTCTTCAGATTTGAATCTTGCTCTGCTATTGTTAGTGTGACTTTGGGTGAGATGTGTTATTTCTCTGTGCCTCAGTTTGTACTTCTGCCCAGTGAGCAGTTAGGATGAGGATGAATTATGCATGAATGTGGATATGTGTTAAGCTCAACCTTTGACACTTAATTGGTGCTCAAAAGATGTCAGGCAGGCCGGGCGCGGTGGCTCACGCCTGTAATCCTCAAGGTCAGGAGTTCGAAACCAGCCTGGGGAAGAGTGAGACCCCGTCTCTACTATAAATAGAAAGAAATTAATTGACCAACTAAAAATATATCTATAGAAAAAATTAGCCGGGCATGGTGGTGCATGCCTGTAGTCCCAGCTACTCGGGAGGCTGAGGCAGGAGGATCGCTTCAGCCCAGGAGTTTGAGGTTACTGTGAGCTAGGCTGGCACCACGGCACTCTAGCCCGGGCAACAGAGTGAGACTCTGTCTCAAAATAAAAATGTCAGGCACACCTTGAGAGGCCCAGCACAGGGCACTTAGGAGGCTGCCCTGTCGATCAGCCAGCTCTGAGCATGACTGTGGTCCCTAGAGAAGTGTATGTGTAGGGACACCTCCGCCAGTCATGAAGGTGGTCCAGGCTGAGAGCTCGTGCTTGGGGACAGGTTGCTGGGTTTAAATCCCCACTCTGCTACATCCTGGCTGTGTGACCTTGGGTGAGAGACTCAAGCTCTCTGGGCCCCAGTTTCCTCATTTGTAAAACGAGATATGTGACAGTGCCCTTCTGAGAGGGTTTGGTGAGGGATAAGCCAGTCTGCACCCAGCACTCTGCATATTAGCTGCTGAGGCGTGGGCTGCTTTTCTGCCCATTTTGCTAATGAAGAAACTGAGGGAGATGATGTGGTTTGCCCAGGTCATGCAGTGCAGGCTGCACTCTTGATCACATTGTCATGTGATTGAGACAGACCACTACTGGTGCCGAGTGTCTGAAGTGAAGAACTTGAGTTAGAAACGTTATTGGGTGTGGCATCCCTTCCTGGGCTCTCGTGTCAGACTGACCCACAGACCCAGAGTCTAATGTCACCTGGGTTCGGGCTTGCTCTGGGTTCTGGTGTCGGTTGTCTCCCTCTCTCCCCTGCCCCTTGATTTTGTTATCTGTTAAATGGGGACGATCCCTTGGAGCCAGAGTTGTGTGTTGTCCTGCAGTGTCTGTCACAGTGGGCATTAGGGAGGAAAAGCTGTGTGGCTTCAGGTGAGTGTACTGACCTCTCTGAGCCACATCTGCAAAAACAGGAAGGTCACAGCTTTGCCCCTATGGGCCGTGGTGGGGAGCCCTGTGTGACTGCTCCACCTGGTCCTGCAGGGCTGGGTGTGGTCGCTGGCGGCGCAGGACCACCGCGTGTGCTCCGGCTCCTGGGACAGCACGGTGAAGCTCTGGGACATGGCGGCTGATGGGCAGCAGTTTGGCGAGATAAAGTGTGAGGGGTCCGGGGGCCTGGCGGGGTGGGGCCCTGCCTGGCCACAGCCTGAGCCCTGTGGTCTGTGTGTCCCCAGGGCTAAGGCAGCTGTGCTGTGTCTGTCCTACCGGCCTGACATCCTGGTGACCGGCACCTATGACAAGAAGGTGACCGTCTACGACCCCAGAGGTGGGCCAGGGACCCTGGGACCCGGGTTGGGAGAGCAGGGCTGCCTGGGGTCTCTAGAGCTCGGCTGGGGAAGGAGGCACTGAGACCTGCGGCCTGGCTTGAGTGACAGTCCCATAAGCAGATGCTAACCACTGAGCGGCTGGTGCGGTGCTGGGGAACAGAGACAACTGGGGCAGGGGGTTCAGAGGAAGCCTAGTAGCCTCCAGGGTTGGGTTAGAATCCTGCCTCCCCCACTTCCAAGCTGTGCAGCCCCAGGCCAGGTTGAACCTCAGTTTCCCCATCTGTGAAATCCAAATAACACTTCAGCCCCACGGGCTTAATGGGAGGAAATGACAGTAACATGCCAGTGGATAAGTTAGTTTACATAAAACTCCTAGAATGAACACTGCCTGGCACAGAAGTCTTTTCTGTTTGTTTACTTTTGTTATTTTGTTTAATTGAAGGGCCAGTGCGCCTTGTCCAGGCCGAGCCAGGGTGGGGCTGCGGGCTGCGGGCTGGGGGCGCATCTCAGGCCCACCTGCAGGCAGAGGGGGTTGGCACTGAGGCTGCCCTGGTCGGCCCTGTGCTGAGCAGGGTAGATGGGATTGGAGGATGGGGAGGGGCAGAGGACGGGGTCCTGGGACGGTCCAGATTTAGCTGGAAGGGGAGAGGCGAGATGGTCACTTGCAGGGTAGGGGACAGAGCAGACTGAGGGCTTTGCCAGGGAGAAGAGAGGCCCGGGATGCTTGGGCGGGCTGGGGAGGGCCTCTGAGGGGCTCTGATGAGCCCCCTCCTCCCGGCCCGCTGCCCACGAAGCCGGCCCCGCCCTGCTGAAGAGCCGGCGGCTGCACTCCAGCGCTGTGCTGGCACTGCTGGCAGACGACCGGCACATCATCTCGGGCAGCGAGGACCACACCCTCGTGGTGTTCGACCGCCGAGCCAACAGCGTCCTGCAGCGGCTGCAGGTGGGCCCCCCAGGGGCCTGGAGGGACTGGGGCTGCAGCTGGCCTGGCCTGGCCTGAGCTGCCCTGTCCCTCGTCCCTCCCACAGCTGGACTCCTACCTGCTCTGCATGTCCTACCAGGAGCCCCAGCTGTGGGCTGGTGACAACCAGGGCCTGCTGCACGTCTTCGCCAACCGCAATGGCTGCTTCCAGCTAGTCCGGGTCTGCAGCGCCCTTGCCCGTGCCTGTCCCTCCCCCCAGGCCTCCTTCCTTCCCCCTGAACCCCCAGTGGTGTGGAGGGCTGGCCTTGGGCAAGCCTCACCTGCATGTCATCCCTCCTGCCTTCCCGCAGTCCTTCGACGTGGGCCACAGGTCTCATATCACGGGGATCAAACACTCGCTGGGGACCTTGTACACCACATCCACTGACAAGACCATCCGGGTGAGGCTCCTGCCCAGCTTGTGCTCAGGCGAGGGGGGGGGGACAGTCCCCACCCCCACAGGCCAAGGTCATGCCCCTTGACCTTTGCCCCCACCAGGTGCACCTGCCCACAGACCCACCAAGGACCATCTGCATCCGAAACCACCACAACGTGCTGAATGGGGTAAGGCCTGGCCCGCGTGCCCAGCCCTGCCCGCCCAGAGCGCTGCCCTCCCGACTCCGTATGTCCCTCCCAGGTCTGTGCCGAGGGCAACTTGGTGGTGGCCGCCTCTGGGGGCCTGTCGCTGGAGGTGTGGAGACTGCAGGCCTGAGCAGTGGATGTGGACGTGGATGTGGACACTGCCAGCCAGCAGGCTGGGCCTCGGCCACCGTTCTTGGGGGACCTTCCCCGTGCTGGTGCTGCCTCGGCCCCCGCCCCACAGGCCCAGGACACAAAGAGTCCGGGCCATGGTCGGGCGTGGGTCCCTGGGCTGGGCCCCGTGCCCATGGAGGTGAAGTTGGGGTTCTGGCCCATCTAGGGAGCTGCTCCCCACCCTTGGGCCCTGGTTTTATGATTTGGACGCCCCGCTCTCTGTGGGGAGCAAAGGAGAAATAAACCTGACTGACGTGTTGGTGCTCAGGCCTGGAGTGTGGCGTGGCCGCTGGGGGCTGGGACGCTGCGGTCGGATATGGGGGTGAGCGCAGAGGCGGTGGCAGGGCTGGGTGCACGTGTCAGTCACTGATGTGCATGTGTGTGTGTGTTTGAGGTAGAGTCCTGCGGACCATGGCCACCTGTGTCTGTGACGTTGCCTCTGTGTGTGTGTGACACGTGGGTGTAGATTATAACTCGAACCTTGGACGCGAGTCCATGCACTGCGAGTGGGCATCTGCTCAGGAGACCCTGTGGGTGTGGGGGAGGGGGGAGGGCTCCAGGGTGTATGTGCTGCTGTGGCTGTGACCCTGGAGGTAGACCCTGTCCCCTGGTGGGTGTGGGGGAGGGGGGAGGGCTCCAGGGTGTATGTGCTGCTGTGGCTGTGACCCTGGAGGTAGACCCTGTCCCCTGCAAGCCCTCAGTGCCACCCCTGGCACCCATGTCCCCATCTCAGCCTGGCCCAGCCACACCCTGGAGAGCATTCACTTCATGTTTATTGAGGGCTCCTGGTTTGTGGAGGCCACAGGGTGACACTGTCTTGGGGTCACAGGATGGCACAGGGCTTCTTCTCCTTGAAGGGGTTGGTGGCGGCCGGGATGCCCACGAGGAAGGGGTCACTCTTGGCCTGCTCCGTGCAGAACTGCAGCAGGTCAGCGGCTGCCTTGGACACCTGTGGACCAAGCCAGTCAGCCAGACCTGGGTGTGCGCCTGTCCCCGGCCACGCTGCCTGCCTCCTCTCCCCACCACCTGCGCTGCCCTGACCTTCACCTTCACGCGGTCGATGCCTGCCTCCATCCGCAGCTGCTCCACTGTCCGGCGGGCCTGCCCAATGTCGCTGCCAACAGCCACTTTGCTGGACATCTGGGGAGGAGCGGGTAGGGTTGTGGGCAGTGGGCCCAACCCCAGATCCCTAGGGGAGCCCAGGGCTGCCTCAGGGTCCCTGCACCTCCCCCCGTATCCCCTGGGGGCTGCAGGATGGGGGTGGCTGTCCCCAGCCCTCTGTCAGGCCCACATACCTTGGCTGGGGACTCTGGCAGAAGCCGCCTGGCTGCCTGATCCTCCGGCGGCCGTCCTGCTCTGGCTCCCTCCTCTACGCCTCAGGCCTCCCCAACCCCCTCTTCCCCCTCCCCAGTCCCGTGGAGACTTTGAAGCCAGGATGCTCATGGACTGAAATGTCACCAGTGGTGGCAGCAGCAGCTGCCTTAGCCAAGGGGGTCCCTGCCCCAGCAGGCCCGGCGGGCTCGCAGTCCTGCTCACATGTCACCTGGGTCCTCATGGGCTAGGCAGCATGTCTGGGGAAATGAAGGGGCTCTGGCCTCTCTCTGACCTGCTGGGTCCCTTGCTGACTGGCCCATCACCCCTCCTTTGCCAGCCTCTGTCACTCCTGACATGCAGTGTGTGCCCGTGCTCGGGCACAGCTGGCCTCTCCTCCTCTCTGTCTGCACTGCCTGGAATCTCACCTGCAGAAGAGACTCGATCCACTCGCTGATGCTGATGGCTTCCTCTGCCCCAAGACCTTCGGCCCCCAGATAAAGTTCGACACTCTGCACCAAGTGCTCACGCCCAAATCTCCAACTCCATTCTATCTCAAGTGGCATCAGATCAGCCTTCAAATTAGATTCTCTATCTCTTCTGTCACCATTCATACCCCCATCTTGACCCACCTAGACCAATGCAGTCACCTACCTATGCCCTGGTCACCAGCTTCTCTCTTGGATCACCATGATGCCTTTGTGTTCATTCATTCATTCACTTTTATTCATTCAGCATTGTATGAATCAGCTTAGGCCACTGCAGTAAGATACCACCAACTGAGTGGCTTAAACAACATAAATTTATTTCCTCACAGTTCTGGAGGCTGGAAATCCAAGATTGAGGTGTTGGCAGGTTTGGTTTCTTCTGAGGCTTCTCTTCTTGGCTTGTAAATGGTGGCCTTATTGCCGCGTCCTCACATGGCCTTTCCTCTGTGTATGGGCATCCCTGTTGTCTCTTTGTGTCCAAATTTCTTCTTCTTATAAGGACACCAGTCAGATTGGATTAGGACCTACCCTGATGACCGTGCTTTTACTTTATATTTCTTTAAAGACCCTGTCTCGAAATACAATCACATTCTGAGGTCCTGGGAGTTAGGGCTTCAAGATATGAATTTTAGTGGGGAACAAATGTTATTTCCTGAGATTCTAATGTGGGCCCAGCACTATGCAAAACCCTGTTCTCACAGAGCTGCCATTCTATCAGGGAGGGACAGACAACATCCAACAAAATATACACGAGTGGGAGAATACGTTTGAAAGAGACTATTACAAAAGAAGAATAAAATCTAGGTAAACGAGAAGGGTGGTCAGAGCAGGCCTGTCAGAGGAGGTGACATTTGAGCTGAGGCCCAAAGGAAGAGAAGGAACTGGGGAAGGGGGTACCCCAGGCAGAGGGAGCAGCAGATACATGGGCCATTGGTGGGGAGAGAGCTTGGTGGGTTCCAAGAACAGCAAAACGGTCCACATAGCTGGAGAGGAGTGAGGGAGGTCAGCAGGTACCCTTACAGGCTTTTACTCCAAAGGGAAAGCCACCATTAGGGGATTTTTAGAATCAATATGTTGATGTAGGTTTACAGAGCTCTTTGGCCTGAGCTAGGAGGTGAATTGGAGGGGAGGGAGCCCAGGTGGAGACCATGGGATTGAAGAAAACACCTGGATTTGGGACCCATTTTATACATAGAGGTTGGTGAACATGCTGATAGATGGACATGGAGTGTGAGAGAAGGGGAGATGTCAAGTTCAACTCCCCAGGTTTTAGCCTAGTAGATGAGTGGAGGATGGGGCCATTTGCTGAGATGCAGAGGGATCAGGGTTAGGTGGAGAGGGAACGGAACGGGTCACTGTGAGATCCAAGTGGGAACATCAAGGATGTCAGAGGATATTCCCTTTCTCCAATAACTTAGGTTCATTTCCAGTGAAAGGCCCATTTCTCAGGGCCTTTGCACTGGCTGTTCTCTCTCCCTCTGTGCTGGAAGTGGCCTCCCTCCCCCATCTTCACATATGGGGACTTTCTCAGTCTTCTGGCTTTGGCTCAAATCTCACCTCCCCAGTCACCTGTTCCTCCAACTAAAGCCACCAACTCCTCTACCCCACCCCCACCCCAGACTCTCGAATCATCCTGTTTAAATCCTGAATAGCACTTACCACTGTTAACTTTCTATCTTCCCAATCAGACTGTGGGTCCAGGACAGGGTCCACGTCTTAGTCTTTTTTTTTTTTTTTTTTGAGACAGAGTCTCACTTTGTTGCCCAGGCTAGAGTGAGTGCTGTGGCGTCAGCCTAGCTCACAGCAACCTCAAACTCCTGGGCTCAAGCAATTCTTTGCCTCAGCCTCTCGAGTAGCTGGGACTACAGGCATGCGCCACCATGCCCGGCTAATTTTTTCTATATACATTAGTTGGCCAATTAATTCCTCTCTATTTATATAGTAGAGACAGGTCTCGCTCTTGGTCAGGCTGGTTTTGAACTCACGTCTTGGTCTTAATTATCGCTAAGTCCTCAGCACCTAGCAGAGCCCAATATACAGTAGAGACTCCTTAAGTTGTAGAGACAGTGCACAAAGGAGTCCCCACTGAACTCTGTCCACTGTTGGGAGGATGCTTCTGAGATACAGATGCCACCGAGGATCTTAAAGTCTTGCTGGGGGAAAAGACATGTCAGCCCAGGATCCCAGAGGAGGCCCCTGACCCAGTGGAAGGTCAGGAAAAGCTTCCCAGAGGAGGTGGCAGCTGCAGCTGCCAGAGAAAGGAAGAACAGAGGCTTATGCAGCCTGTGGAGGCTCTGGAGACTGGCGAGGGCACGAATGGGGCTCACCATGCCATTACACAAGAGAGGCTCAGAGAGGCTGGAACTGTGACTCTACCTGGTGACTTAAATCCTGTCAAGGGCAACGCCTAAGAAACCATCCTCTCATCCGGAGGGGACAGAAACGAATTGGCAAGCGCCATGCAAGGCAGTAGGTCTCTAGCAGGCGGCATTAAAATAGGAATCTTGGCCGGGCCCAGTGGCTCACGCCTGTAATCCTAGCACTCTGGGAGGCCAAGGCAGGCAGATTGCTCAAGGTCAGGAGTTCGAAACCAGCCTGAGCAAGAGCGAGACCCATCTCTACTATAAATACAAAAAAATTAACTGGCCAACTAATATATATAGAAAAAAATTAGCTAGGCATGGTGGCGCATGCCTGTAGTCCCAGCTACTCGGGAGGCTGAGGCAGTAGGATTGCTTGAGCCAGGAGTTTGAGGTTGCTGTGAGCTAGGCTGACGCCACCGCACTCACTCTAGCCTGGGCAACATAGTGAGACTCTGTCTCAAAACAAACTAACAAACAAACAAAAATAGGAATCTTCATTCTTGTGAAGTTGAGAACACGCAAAAAGGACTAGCGGCTTTTCGCGGCTTCCGTAGTACGGAACACATGCGCAAAGATGGCCGCGCCCTGGGCTAGGCGCTCCAAATAGTCATGTGACTAAGCCACTTCCGGCCCTTTCTTCAAGGCGTTTTCTCAGGCCCTGAGTCCTGTGCTCTAGCGGAGACCCGTGTGCTGGGGGCTTCACACGTTTCAAGGCCGCCGTAGGCCCGGCCTAGGGCGGCTCTGACTTGAGAGCCAGCCCCAGGCGCATGGAGGGTTCCCCAGAGGGGGAGGCGCCCGCGGCGGCGCTGGCCGCCGTACTGAAGCACAGCTCGGCGTTGCCGCCTGAGAGCGCCCAAGTCCGGGGCTACGACTTCAACCGCGGCGTGGATTACCGCGCACTGCTGGAAGCCTTCGGCACCACCGGCTTTCAAGCAACCAACTTCGGGCGCGCGGTGCAGCAAGTCAACGCCATGGTGAGGCCTGGCGCAGGACTTCCTGGGCCAAGGAGGGGCGGGGCCTCGAGAAAGTCCAGTTCAGCACTTGGAGAGGGCGTGGCTTCCCGTGGGCGGAGGAGGCGTGTCCTTTGTCGAGGCGGCCCAATAGTTGGGGAGAGGCGGGGCCTAGCCTGAGCGGGAGTATCCCTGCAGAGAGACTTTGCACTCCAGTAGTTAAATCCTGGTACAACGGGAGGGGGTGGGGCCTGATTCTAGGCAAGTGGCGGGGTCTAGGTAAAGTATTTAGTGTTTTCTGGAATGGGCGCAGCCTGGGCTTGGATTTGCTTTTCCCAGCGAGGAAGGGAACCGGGCCAGAAAAGGAGATACACTCAGATTCCTATAGGGGCGAAGCTTGAACGTGTGCCCTGAGATCTGGTCTGCACATATTCCGTGGTCCCTAGCAGAAGTGGTCCTGTATCCCTGAGTGGGCAAGGCCTGGGGGTGGAATCTGACTCTGGAACCCACCTGGGGTCCTTGGGCTGGGGTTTGGGGGCCTGTGCTTAACTCGACCCGGCATTTACACCCAGATCGAGAAGAAGCTGGAGCCGTTGTCACAGGATGAAGACCAGCATGCAGACCTGACCCAGAGTCGCCGCCCACTCACCGGATGCACCATTTTCCTGGGATATACATCCAACCTCATCAGTTCAGGCATCCGTGAGACCATTCGCTACCTCGTGCAGCACAACATGGTGGGGACCTAGTGGGGGTGTGGCCTTGGCCTCTTTGGGTCAATGCAGTTATTGATCATTTAAGTGAGATGGGTCTTTTTTTTTTTTTTTTTTTTTGAGACAGAGTCTTACTCTGTTGCCTGGGCTAGAGTGCCGTGGTGTCAGCCTAGCTCACAGCAACCTTAAACTCCTAGGCTCAATCGATCCTTCTGCCTCAGCCTCCCAAGTAGCTGGGACTACAGGCACATGTCACCATGTCCTGCTAATTTTTTTTTTCTGGCTAATTTCTTTCTATTTATAGTAGAGACGGGTCTCGCTCTTTCTCAGGCTGGTCTCAAACTCCTGAGCTCAAGCAGTCCTCTTGCCTCAGACTCCCAGAGTGCTAGGATTATAGGCGTCAGTCACTGCACCCAGTCAAGATGGGTCTGTTTTAAGCAGAGAGACAGAATTGAGTTTTGTTTTGCAGCAGAACAACCCCCCAGGGTCAATGAATGAGGCTAAAATTAGAAGTGCTGCCCAGGATGAGAACAGGGCTTCCCTTCTTGGGCCAACCTTGCTGCCTTGTGGCTGCAGGTGGACGTATTGGTGACCACAGCTGGAGGTGTGGAGGAGGATCTCATCAAGTGCCTGGCACCCACATACCTGGGCGAGTTCAGCCTCAGGGGGAAGGAGCTCCGGGAGAATGGGATCAACAGGTGAGAACCCTGAGTACTAGGCAGGGGAGCTGGGCCCAGGGTCTTGGATCCTAATGCCCACATGCCTACTTTCTGCAGGATTGGGAACCTCCTGGTGCCCAATGACAATTACTGCAAGTTTGAGGACTGGCTGATGCCCATTCTGGACCAGATGGTGCTGGAGCAGAACACAGAGGTGGGGCTGGAGTGACCCGGAGGGGCCAGCGTGGTGGGAGTTGGGATGGGGGGGGCTCTGGCTGAAGCTGATGCCTCCTTCTAGGGCATGAAGTGGACACCTTCCAAGATGATCGCCCGGCTCGGCAAGGAGATCAACAACCCAGAGTCGGTATATTACTGGGCCCAGAAGGTAAGGGGCTGGGTGGGGGCAAAGTTGCCAGGCTCTGGCATGTGTTACCCTGTTTCATCTGCTCAGCCACCTGGAGTCACTCCTGTCATTCTTAGCATCCCCACTCTTAAGACGGGAAACCTTGAACAGTAAGTAATCTGTCTGAGGTCACACAGAGACTGGGGGAAGGTCTTGGTATGCTAGTGCTTGCTACTCCTGGACCAGGAGCAGTGGGTGGCACTTAGCAACTCCCCTGGGGCTTGGCTCAGAGTGTCATGCTTCCCAGAGGCTGTGAAGTCCAACAATCTGAAAAATAACAGCTACCACCCTTTATGTGCCAGGCTACATCTTAAGTATTGTGTGTGAGTCTCCTCACATACGCCTCCCCGTCTGTGAGAGTGTTACTGTTATCCTTATTTTACAGTGGAGCAAACAGGCCTAGAGAAATGAAAAGGCCCACAATCAGAGAGGGAGGAAGGGGTGCAACTGGGATGGGGACCAGGCCATCCCCAGCAGGCTCTGAGCTCCAGCCGCTGTCCCGTCCTGTCATCTCCAGAACCACATCCCCGTGTTGAGCCCAGCACTGACAGATGGCTCACTGGGCGACATGATCTTCTTCCATTCCTATAAGAACCCGGGCCTGGTCCTGGACATCGTTGAGGGTGAGGTGCTGGGGGCCACAGAGGAGCGGGGACAGAGGGCTGGCTGACCCCAAGGCCTAAGCACAGCCCTTTCTCCTCCCCCAGACCTGAGGCTCATCAATACCCAGGCCATCTTCGCGAAGCGCTCGGGGATGATCATCCTGGGCGGGGGTGTGGTCAAGCACCACATTGCCAACGCCAACCTCATGGTGAGTGGGTGGCACGTGGTGGCTAGGCCCGTGCCACACACTGGGGAGACAGCCAGCAGACAAGTGACATGCATGTCCGGTGGCAGTAGTTGCTATGGAGAAAAGTAAGGCTGGATGAGGGTGTTCAGGGAGGCTTCTGGGAAATGGGACCTGTGAGCAGAGGCTTTTGGGAGGTGCCTTGTCTGAGCCATGATGGCTGTCGTTGGGGAGAGTTCTTGGGGAAGAGAACAGCCAGTGCAAAGTCAAGGGACAGCTGGGAGCTTGGTGAGGGGGATGAGCGGGAGTGCTGAGGGCCAGGAGGTGACACAGCACAGCCTTGCCAGGCCGCAGGGCGGGCTTTGGCTTTTGCTCCGAGGGAATTGGGAGAGGACCTGCACCAGGGCTTTGCAGAAGCGGGCAGGTGGGTGGCTTTGGAGGCGTCTGAAGATAAGAGCTGGTGACGGCTCCTGCTGGGCAGGAGGGGGAGGGTCGCTGAGACCTAGCAGGTGGGTCTAGGGAAGTTTGCCTGGCAATCCCTGTGACCCCGGGCATAGGGCATCTCCCTGGAGTATGAGACTTCCAGGGGCTACCTGCATATGGGACACACCCCTTAGCCTCTTTGGCTATGGTGTCCTGTGTCCCTGTCTCCTGTGACCAGCTGACCAGGTCTACCCTGCCCCTCTCAACAGCGCAATGGAGCCGACTATGCTGTCTACATCAACACGGCCCAGGAGTTTGACGGCTCTGACTCAGGCGCCCGGCCAGATGAGGCTGTCTCCTGGGGCAAGATCCGGATGGACGCACAGCCTGTGAAGGTAAAGGCTGGCCAGGTGGGAGCAGGTCTCCCCTGCCGTGGCCATCAGTCCCACAGCTCACCCAGGTCCCCTCTGCAGGTCTATGCCGATGCCTCCCTGGTCTTCCCCCTGCTCGTGGCTGAAACCTTTGCCCAGAAGGTAGACGCCTTCATGCCCGAGAAGAATGAGGACTGATTAGCTGTGGCCTCAGGAGGCCTCGTCCCCGCCTCTATTTATTAGTTTTCAGACCAAACCCCCATGTCCCCCTTGGACAGCAGCGTATCTACAATAAATGGTGTTGTGGTCCTTCTGAGTCTGTGCCTTGGTCCTTGGTGCTGGTGGTGGGTCCCTGGCTTCAGCCTGCTCCTCCCTCTGTCTCATAAGCCTCCTCCCGCCAGCAGTGGACGCTGCCCCCCACGGCAGTGAGCAGGCAGGGCTCCGTGGGGTGGTAGGCCAGCGACTGCACCACACCTCGGCCCACAGGCAGGGCCAGTGCCAGGGAACCCTGCGGAGCGAGGGGTAGGGAGTGGTCACTGGTGGCCTGGCTGTCCCCAGCTCCCAAGGTCCCTAGGCATCCTCCTGCCCTAGTTCATCTCTCCTCGGACCTTCAAAGGCCACCTACCTCTAATTGCCTCGTGGATACTGCAAACCTAATCTGCCCCAAACTGAGCCCCTTGGGAAATTCATCCTTCCGGGTGCTCAGGCCAAATGTCTTGGAAGTTTTTCTCTTGAAACTCCCATCCCTTTATCAGTAAATCCTCTTGGCTCTGCCTCTGGATGGTGTCTAGAGACTGCCAATTCTCCACCTTCTCAGTCGCCACCCTGCTCTGAGCATGTCTTGCTCCCAGCTTCCCTGTTCCTGGCCACTGGCTGGGCGCCACCCTGCCTACTCGGCACCCCCCAGTCATAGCACAGCGTATGCAGTTCCCCTCCAGCAAACCATGTTCCCTCTTTCCACGCTGAAAATGTTCCTTCACATGTCCTCCCTCCAGGGCAACTCCTAGTCTGTCTTAGTTCCCAGAGTGACAGCTTGTCCCTGAAGTCTCAGAGCATACCAGTTCCCTCCATCCTCTTAGGGGGCTTAGTTGCCCTGGCCAAGTGCCAATGTCTCTCCTTCCCTGAGGCTCCCCAGCCCCGACCCCACTAAGCCAGGACAGTCTGTTCCCAGCCTCACTCCACTGCCAGATGGGCACACGTTAGGACATGAGGACATAGGACATGAGGGCTCAGTGGGGCTTGAAATCACGCATGGGATGCTCCGATGCAGCTCAGGTTTCCTGAACAACCTCATTTCACCCAAGGTCAGAAACCACCATCAGTTACCCCTCAACCCAGGGTCAGTGCCAGTGGCCCTGCCTGGCTTCTGCGGCCCTCCTGCTGCTGCTGCTGCCAGTCTGAATGTTTGCATGGGCCACACTTCTACACCTTAGCACATGCTGTTCCCTTTGCCTGGAATGGCCTTCCTGCCTTGTCCTCTTACTCCGCCAAGATCCCGTCTCAAATAGCTAACATCACTCTCCTCTTCAGGCCCCCCAGTGACTGAGATGAGGATGAGACTGGGACGGGGTAGGTGCCCAGGTATCTGGTGGGGTTGGGGGTGACTCACCTCCACCAGGTCCCAGAAGAACACCTTCCCGTCCTCGGAGCAGCTGACCACGTGCGTGTCGCGCTCGCTCAGGCAGCAGTCCAGCTTGTACTCCTGGTTCTTATGGCCTGTGTACCTGGGGGTGGGTGGGATCACGGGGCTTGGTCCTCATGGTAAGGGGGGTGCTGGGATGGGGGGAGTGGGGAAGCATGACCTCAAGGACTCACTCGCCCAGCAGCTCCCCCGTGTCTTTGTCTAAAAGCCGCAACGTGGAGTCCAGGCTGGACACCAGGGTGCACTGCCCATCCCGGCTGAAGCAGGTGCAGGTGATGGGACCTGGGGAGGGGCAGGTAGGCGGGTGAGGCTGGAGTGTCCCTGGGAGCACCGCCATCTTCCCTGCCTGCCCCACAGTCGCAGCCACACTCACTGCCCACGTAGTCTGAGAAGAGCTGTCCCATCCTCAGGTCATAGCGCCTCACTCGGCCATCCACAGAGCTGCAGGAGAGGAGGGTGGATGGAGCCAAAACCTTGACTGGGGCCAGTAGCTCCATGGCTTCAGGTGGCTTCAGTGTCCCTGTGACCTCCCATCCTGCTGGGCCTGTTCTTCCTGTGCACACGAGTGGACTTCTGAGGCACTAGCTTTGAGACTCAGGCCCAGGGTACAATCTCCACATCATTTCCAGGATCCACAGCTCCTGTTCCGAACCCTTGCAGTCCTTCTGCAGTCCCTTTTTTCCTGCACTCTCCGGCTCTTCCTCCCGGCAATCCCGAAATCCCACCACTTACCCACACCAGCACCACCACCTGCCCTGCCCCCGCATAGCCACCAGGAGGAGCACTTTTCAAAGTACAGCTCCCCCTTGAACAACAGGGTTTGAACTGCATGGGTCCACTTTTACACAGATTTTCTTCTACCTCTGCCAGCCCGGGGAGCAAAACCAACCCCTTTCTTCCTTCTCCTACTCAACGTGAAGATGAGGATGGAGACCTTTACTGTGATCCACTTCCACTTAATGAGTAGCAAACATACTTTCTTTCTGATGATTTTCTTCATAACATTTTTTTCTCTAGCTTTTTATTCTTTGTTCACTGTTGGATGCCTACTGACAAGAAAAGTATCTCGCATGCAGTAGGTGCTCAAACACACTTTTTATAAGTAACAGAAGGGCAGCCTCCAACTCCTGGGCTCAAGTGATCTTGCCTCAGCCTCCTGAGTAGGTGGGATTAGCTCACAGCAACCTTAAACTCCTGGGCTCAAGCAATCCTGCCTCAGCCTCCCAAGTAGCTGAGACTACAAGCATGTGCCACTATGCCTGGCTAATTTTTTTCTATATAGTTTTAGTTGGTCAATTAATTTCTTTCTATTTTTAGTAGAGACGGGGGGGGGTCTCACTCTTGCTCAGGCTGGTCTTGAACTCCTGACCTTAAGCAATCTGCCCGCCTAGGCCTCCCAGAGTGCTAGGATTACAGGCTTGAGCCACCACACCCGGCCTGAGAGTAGGTTTTAATAGGAGCACAGAGGCAGCCATATCCTTGGTGGCACCTGGGGAGGGGCAAGGTCCTGGCTCTACTCACCCTGCCAGTACCTCATGGTCTGACACCTTCACACTGGATATACCATCCTTGGCCTCATCCAGTGTCTGCACTGGCTCAGGTCTCCGAGAGCGGCAGTCCCAACAGCGGATGCTGGAATCGATAGAGCCTGTGAGGTCAGCATAAAGATGAGGTCAGGTTTGGGTGGTGGGGGTACCACCCTGGGCCCCTCTGCCTAGGCTCCAGACTCACCGGACAGGATGACTGTGGCCTCTTCATTAAACTGCACCGTGTTCACCTTCTAAGAAACAATTACTGCCACTCAGAGGAGGCTGGACTTTGGAGGACTGGGATAAAAGCAGGATTGCCAGTGCAGGTTAAAGCGAAGACAAAGGCTAGGGGTAGGGGAGGCGAAAGATTTTTGGGGTAACTGCAAGGACAGGGCTTGGTGACTGACTGCATGGTCTGGCCATGAGGGGGTGAGATAGTCCCGTCGTCTGGAGAAGGATCCTTACGCTATAACGCGGAGGGGAGCGGTCCCTGTCACCACCTAGGCGTTAATACGGTCCCGTCCGCTACCCACGGGTCTTGAGGCTTGCACTCACCCCTGCATGGCCCCGGAATTTGCGTACGACCTGCCCTGATGCCACATCCCACAGCACCACCGCCTTGTCCCCGCCGCCAGAGCAAAGATTGCTGTTGTCAAAGGAGCTGGAGGGCAGGAGAGGGAATGTCAGCGACGATCTCCGATCCCAGCCTCGACGCTCCAGTCCCGGCCCAGCCCCCGGCTCACCCGGCCGCGTCCAGCACCTCGTAGCCGTGGCCGCTATATGTCCGCAGCAGCGTCCCCCGAAGCGGGTTCCACAGCTTCAGGGTCTTGTCGCTGCCACACGTCAGGCAGTAATTGCCATCCACTGGGGAATAGCAGGCTGGGGTTACTGGGCCGCCGACCTCAGGAGGCGGGAAGAGGACGCGGAATAAAGATGAGGGCGCTCACCATTAAATCGCACGGCCCGCACTGCCCCTTGCCCGCAGTCCAGCGTCTTTAACCGTTTTTGCGGCAGCTCCGGGCCCCGCGGCTTCGGCTCAGGGAAAGCCATGGCTCCGGTATCTCTTCCACGCCGTCCGATATCTGTCTGAGCCTTCGAAACCCACGCTTGGGTGTAACCTTATTATTGTCCTCCATGATCCACGTCCTGTTCCTCACTTCCGGGTGAGAAACGTCAGCATTTCGGTGACAGTGTTGGGAATAGTGAAGCCCGCTTTCAAATGTTTTCCCTCACTTCCTGTCATCAAGGAACTTTCTTGGCCTCTTCTAATTCTCTGTCCTCTGCCTGAGGGTCGTCCTGGCCTCCGCCGTAAGGAACGGAAGTGCGAGAGCTTCGGGTGTTACTCCATAAGCCACCCTCCACTTGCCCGCCGGAAGCTGCAACTGCCGCAGCGGAAGAGGCCCGCCCTGGCCCTCAACTCGCTATGTCCGCGAATAATATGTCGGACCCACGGAGACCGAACAAAGTGCTAAGGTGAGGACCCCAGCGTCACGGCAGCGGGGCTCGGGTTGAGTGTGTGGGTCGGGACTTGAGTGCCCCTGACCCTTGACCTTGTCGCAGGTACAAGCCCCCGCCGAGCGAGTGTAACCCGGCTTTGGACGACCCGACGCCAGACTACATGAACCTGTTGGGCATGATCTTCAGCATGTGCGGCCTCATGCTTAAGGTGGGTGGGGTTGAGCGTCCACGGGTGTAGATCGGCGGGCGAACTAGGCCCGGGGGCGGGTTCCGAATAAAGCGGCGCATCGGGCCAGCGCCGAGGGGGCGGGGCCGATCTGGGCCGAGGAAGCCCCAGAGGCCGGGGAAGCGGTGCGGGGGTGGATCTGGGAGGGTACATGGCAGGGTGGTCTGCCATGTACTTTGAAGTTGCTTTGAAGCAACTTGAAGGGGACTTGTAGGAAAAGGGCAGGGTCCTTAGCAGGTGCAATGTCAAAGGCCAGTCTTGGCCTGAGGGGATGTGGTGCGGTCAGAGACAGGCCCTGGGCAACATAACAAGAGAGAATCCCCCCACTCCGTCTCTACAAAAAAAAAAAAAAAAAAAAAAAAAATTAAAAATTAGCTGAGGCCGGACGCAGTGACTCACGCCTGTACTCTTAGCACTCTGGGAGTACAAGGCTGGAGGATTGCTTGAGCTCAGAAGTTTGAGACCACATCTCTACCAAAAATAAAAGAATTAGTGGGGCGTGTTGGCGCATGCCTGTAGTCCTACCTACTCGGGAAGCCCAGGCAGGACGATAGCTTAAGCCGCACAGTTTGAGTTTGCAGTGAGCTATAATGACGTCACTGCACTCTACCCAGGGCAACGAAGCAAGACTCTGCCTCAAACAAACAAACAAACAAAAAACAGCTGCGGCTGATGGTGCACACCTGTAGTCCCAACTACTTAGGAGGCTGAGGCAGGAAGGTCGCTTGAGCCCAGGAGTCTGCAGTGGGCTGTGATCGTGCCATTGCATTCCTGCCTGGATGATAAAGTGGGACCCATGTCTTTAAAAATTTTTTTTTAAAAGGAGAGAGAGTAAGACCAGAAACCAGCATTCTGGAATATGCTATGAGGTGGGACTGAGGGATTCCTGGGGTGCAAGGTCTGAGCTGCACAGGTGGAATCAGTGGACAGGAAGCCTGGGAATGTGGCTTTTTTTTTTTTTTTTTGAGACAGAGTCTCGCTTTCTTGCCTAGGCTAGAATGAGTGCCGTGGTGTCAGCCTAGCTCACAGCAACCTCAAACTCCTGGGCTCAAGCGATCCTCCTGCCTCAGCCTCCCGAGTAGCTGGGACTACAGGCACGAGCCACATGCCCGGCTGATTTTTATATTATATATATTAGTTGGCCAATTAATTTCTTTCTATTTTTTATGGTAGAGACGGGGTCTCACTCAGGCTGGTTTTGAACTCCTGACCTTGAACAATCCGCCCGCCTCGGCCTCCCAGAGTGCTAGGATTACAGGCATGAGCCACCACGCCCGGCCTGGGAATGTGGCTTTTGGGGAGGTCATTGGTGTGCCTCTCACTGACCTAACCTGCCCATCCACCCTACCTCTCCGCAGCTGAAGTGGTGTGCTTGGGTCGCTGTCTACTGCTCCTTCATCAGCTTTGCCAACTCCCGGAGCTCAGAGGACACGAAGCAGATGATGAGTAGCTTCATGTGAGGCTTGGCCTAGAGAGCGAGGGGCTCTTGAGTTGGGGGGAGGGGGCGCAAGCCAACTCATCCTAAACTGACACCTCTATCCGGTCTCAGGTTGTCCATTTCTGCCGTGGTGATGTCCTATCTACAGAATCCGCAGCCCATGACACCTCCCTGGTGATGTCAGCCTAGAGGGGTCACATCCTGGACCTGCTCTATCCACCTTCCCCCAGGCCTGGTCTTTGGTGGCTCAGCCTCCTGCCCTCAGCTGCTGTCCTGGACTTCCCTGAATGAGGTGGTCACAGAGCCTCCAGCTAGATGGAAGGAAAATGGCCCTTTCCCTGGGGTCTGATTTCTGGTGGGGCATAGAGAGGAATACCCTACCCTGCTGCCCTGCCTCTCCCTCCCTCCCCATCTGCTGCTGGGGGAGATGGTGTCCATGTTTTTAGGTGTGTTCATTTGTTTTCTTGTTGAAATGTGTTAATAATAAGGTTTTCCACTCTGGCTTTCAGTCTCCCTCTTCTGTTCATTGGGGGTGCTCCTTCTAGTGGGGGAAGTTCTCCAGCTCCTTAGGCCTGGGGTGGGGCCCTGCTCTGGAACCTTCTGGTGCTTCACTTGCTCATTTCACAAACCTCGTGTGCCTTAAGTGCCAAGGACTGGACAGTGACCTTTGCCCTCTGGCAACTCAGCAGATAGCTCTTCTGATCTAAGGAATCAGGGCGTTGGCTTTCTTATTAGAGGAATGTAGTAATGTCTATAAACTGGATCGTTTAGGAAAAACTATAACCATTTGCCCTTGCTCTCACACCACAATAGTCGCCAATACAGAAGAAGACTTCCGTGACCAAATTTCAGGGGAATTTCTCTCCACTACCAAGTGAGCACTCAATTCTGCTTTGAAAACCATCTGGGTGTCCTCTAATTCACTTCTGACACTACCTAGAGATAGTATCAGATCCCACGGGTGGAAAGCTCAGTCCTTGACTTCCTCTCTCCTTTAGGTACTAGAGTCCAGGCTTCCAGAACTTCTGCTTCAAGTTGGGGTTCCCATGACCCCCTCTTTGGGTTTGATTAATTTGCTGGAGCAGCTCACAGAACTCTGGGAAACATGTTTACTAGTTTATTATAAAGATGCTACAAAGGATACAGATAAGATGTGTAGGGTGTGGGATGGGGGAAGGGGCGTGGAGCTTCCATACCATCTCCAGGTGTGCCACCCTCCAAGAACATCCATGTGTCCAGGCATCGGGAAGCTCCCTAAACCCTGTCCTTTTGGCTTTTTATGGAGGCTTCATTACATAGACATGATTGACAAGCGTGTGGAAATATGACTGGATGGAAAAGAAGATGACCTCATATAACTGATTAGGGAGACTCCACAAGGCCTGTCCAGATTCTTGGCCTCTCTGTGCAGCAGTTCTTCCCCCGGGGTAGGAAACAAGACCCTTTCTGGAATGAGCATTTTAAGAACCACAATCAGATTAGAGTCTTGCTGTAGGCAGGTGAAAGAAGGGCAGGAGAAGATCAGAGAGGCAATCTGTTTCCTGAAGCCTACTTCTTACTTCTGAAGCCTGAAGTGCTTGAACATTAAACCAAAGGACTGTAACAAGGGTTGCAAGAATCAGAAGCCCAGAACTGTGGAGGAAAACCCAGATAGACACGTGGCATATACATACATACCCATACATGTATATACACATGTAAATTAATATCACAAGGCTGGACTGGTAGGAATTGGGAAAGGTATAAAAGATTCTGGGTCCTTCCCCCCCTGTCAGCAGCCCCCTCCTCTCAGCTAGACACCAGCTAGACACCTCCTTTTAGCTTCGAAACCCTTCTCTGTCTATTACTAGATATAAGGCAAAGTTGAATATCTGGCCCTAATACACAAGTGAAAGGAGAGGAACCATTATCTGTTTTCTTTCAGTGGATGGAAGTATTTGAGATGGAAACTTAACATTATGAACTAACACTCTTTCGAAAGACTTGTTTCTTTGCCTATTGGGAGCCCAAAGATGAATTCAAATATCTGGCTCTAAGATACACATAGAAGAACAGTTGTCAAAAGAGGTCCCCAGCCCTGAAGGTCAAGGGGACACCCTAGGATCCCATGCACGCACCCTATTCCCTAGGAAAACCCGGCACCCTCAAGAAAAACAGACCTCGGCTCCCACCGGGACAAAGAGGCCAAAGTTGGCTAGGAGCAGGCAGGGTTGGATGAGGGTCCCGTTCTATCCTGCGGGGACTGGGAAGTGGCAAAACGAACTCCCCTTGCAGTGCAGGGGAAGGGAGGCACTCTAAGGCCCCACAAAGCAGGAGAAAAGCCAAATGCGCTTCTAGCTAACCAATTGCCCGGAGGGTGGAACACGCCGGGGGGCTTTCTTGCATTTCCTAGCGACACTAGGTCTGCCTAGGGATACAGCAGGTCCCATGACCCGGCAGGCTGCGGCCTAGCCGCGCCCCCGCCGGCGCCGATTGGCCAGACCGTCTCTGGGGGCGGGGCGTCTGTCCTTCTTTACGGGGGCCGGGGAAGCCTCAGGAAGCCACCACTGAGCCATGGTCACCGTCGCGCGGGCTTTGTTGGTCCGCTCTGGTGGCTGCCCACGTGCGGCGAGGCCCTGGACCAGCTCCCGGGCCCTGCGGCCACCGCTCCCGCCTCTGCCCTGTTTGTTTTTGGTGTTGCTGGCAGCGCCCGGCGCTCGGGCTGCGGGATACGAGGTGAGCTAGGCCGGGGGGTGGGGTGGGGGGGTGGAAACTTACAGGAACCGGCCCCAAGGTGTGAGTGGTCTGTTCTGTGGGTGCCGAGAATGGTTGCTGATATGACAGGGTGGTCTGAGTGCGTGCTTTGTGTCATTGCGAGCTCTGGTTGTGTGCACCTGAGAATGGGGCTGATTGTACCTGCGTCCACATGTCGCTTGCCTGGACGTTTCATGCACTTAACCATGCGTTTGGAGGGGCCGGGAGTGAGCAGCGGGGTGTGTGTGTGGAGAGGGGGTACTGGTTGAAAGCCGGGACTCTGGAGTCAGCCCGTCTGGAGTTCCAGCCTAGCTCCTCCACTTCCTGGCTGTGGGACCTTGGGTAAGTCACCACCCCTCTCAGAGCCTCAGTCCCCTCTTTTTTTTTTTTTGAGACAGAGTCTCGCTTTGTTGCCCAGGCTAGAGTGAGTGCTGTGGCGTCAGCCTAGCTCACAGCAACCTCAATCTCCTGGGCTCAAGCAATCCTCCTGCCTCAGCTTCCTGAGTAGCTGGGACTACAGGCATGCACCACCATGCCCGGCTATTTTTTTCTATATATATTAGTTGGCCAATTAATTTCTTTCTATTTATAGTAGAGACGGGGTCTCGCTCTTGCTCAGGCTGGTTTCGAACTCCTTAGCTCGAGCAATCCTCCCGCCTCGGCCTCCCAGAGTGCTAGGATTACAGGCATGAGCCACCGAACCCGGCCAGTCCCCTCATTTGAAAACTGAGGATAATACCGCCCCATCCTCCAGGGTGACTGTCTGCCTTTTGCAAATGCTTAACCAACATCAACTACTACTATTATTATTTTCTCCGGGTGAAACCATGAGAGCTGGTTTGTGGGGTCGTGCAAAGTGGGAGTTAAATCTGTGAGCACAGCTATGTGTGTGTCCCACCTGGGAGGGCCTGGCCTCTGCACATCGGCAAGGTCAGGGCTCCTCTCTACTTCCTGAGTCACTCACTTCTAGATCAAGACTAGCTTTGCACTCTCCCTCCACCTCCCCACCCCCACCCCACCCCCACCCCAGCCTGCCTCTGAACTCTGGGGTTACTGATAGGGTATGTGTGTGTGTTTGGGGTCCCTATGCAGACATGCCACCCAGTGCAGCCAGACATGCTCAACGTGCACCTGGTGGCCCACACACATGACGACGTGGGCTGGCTCAAGACGGTGGACCAATACTATTATGGCAGTGAGTAGAAAGTAGGGACTGGCCCTTCTAGTCCCTTCTGGGGCAGTGCCTTGGGCTCTTGTGTCTGGGAATGTTCTGCTTAGCTCTGCTGGCCCCTGACAGCCTGTGTCCACACCCCTGTGTCCACAGCCAGGGAGCTCTACCAGCAGGGCGCTGTGCAGTACATCCTGGACTCAGTCATCTCAGCCCTCCAGGAGGACCCCACCCGCCGCTTCATCTACGTGGAGATGGCCTTCTTCTCTCGTTGGTGGAACCAGCAGACAAATGTGACACAGGAAATCGTGCGGGAACTGGTGGGCCAGGGTGAGCCTGCCCCAAGGAAGTGAAAACCCCAAGGAAGTGAAAAAAGGAAGCTTGGCCCAGCTTCTGCTTCTGCAATCCTGGTTTCTGAGATTTTATCATCACGCCACGTCAGTTGGACATGAGTGCCACTCCACCCGCATGGAATCTCCCTTTATTTGCAGACCCCATCTCTACAAAAAATAGAAACATTATCTGGGCATGGTGGCACATGCCTATAGCTGCTGTAGTCCCAGCTACTCGGGAGGCTGAGGCAGGAAGATCGCTTGAGCCCGGGCGATTAAGGCTGCAGTGAGCTATGATCCTGCCACTGCACTCTAGCCTGGGTGACAGAGCAAGACCCTGTCATTAGCTGTGTTCTGTCCCTGTCCATCCTCAGGCTGCAGAAGGGGCCCTCCCTCCTGGAATCAGGCCTCCTTTGGGCTTTGACCATACTGGGGAGGTGGAGGTGGGTTCTGGCTTTCAATCTACCAGCTCCCTGTTCTCTAGGGTGGTGTGTTCTGGTCCTTTCTCAAGCCTGGAAGGAAACTGGCCTCCCTCATTCAGCCCCGCTTTCTACATGGGCTCTGACTTGCCACCCCGGAGCTGAGGGGAGCTTTGGTGACAGTGCTGGGCACTGATTCACACTGTCTCCTTCTGTTATTTGCAGAACTCCTGTGCATCCGTCAAGGCCCCACCTCCAGGGGGTCCTCTGGGAAGTCTTTCCTTATCCAGCTACACTGGCCTGGGAGAGAACCCTCTTCTCCTTCCACCTGGCTTGAGCACACAGGCCGGCCTCCTTGTCCCCAGCACCTGGCCCCATCCTGGCTCTGACCCTGACCTTTTCTCTCCTGGAACAGGGTCCCTGCAGTTTGCCAACGGTGGCTGGGTGATGAACGATGAGGGGGCCACGCACTACGGCGCCATCGTGGACCAGATGACACTTGGGCTGCGCTTCCTGAAGGACACATTCGGCAACGACGGGCGCCCCCGTGTGGCCTGGCACATAGACCCCTTCGGCCACTCTCGGGAACAGGCCTCGCTGTTTTCCCAGGTGCTGTCCCGACTTCCCTTGGACCTGCCCCTTCACTCGCTCTGACTCCGCCCATGACCACTCAAGCCCCGCCTCCCCCCTGCAATCTCACAGAGATGTCCTGCTGGCGCGATGAGGCCCTGCCCCTGGAGCGACTCCGGCTCTGGCCTCACTCAGCCATCTAGATCTAGGTCCGGGACTGACCCAGCTGGGGCTGGCTCTGTCTCCTCTCTTGACCCGCCCTTCTCCGTGTTCTGGCCCCA